CCACCATGATTCGTTTCATACACGTATGTATATCATGATTCTTGTTGTTTAGACTCTAAGGTAGTTTAGGATGCTCCCCGAGTCTCAATTGGACATAGACGTTAGGTGGCATGAACCCCTTTAACATGCTTCACCTTAAGGTGATAAAGTTGTAAAATGCTAGGTTGATGCATGTTCATCTCCTACAAGTAGCTTTATGTTACTCACCCCTACGATACTGGGGCATATTTCAGGTACGAAGACTTGGTTCGTGAAGCCTAGTATTCCTTGGATGTCGTGTAGTTTTCAAGTTTCCATTTCATGCAAATGTTAGCATGAAATGTCATTTTGTAGACTTATATGTCAAAATATGTATATTTGATTCCATGTATGTAATGTGCACATAAGTGCACTCCTTTCAATGTATTTGACATGTATGAGATGAGGCCGGAGGCCAATGACATATGTATTGTATTCTATACAACTTTTTAACTTCATGAAATATTATGAAAACCTTGAAAAATCGCAAGTCATTGCTTCACCATGGTTGCATCGGGTGTGGGAATTCCACTTTCATTCTTTCATAGGGTCTTATTAATCTTGTATGAAGTGTGGCCAAGGGCCAACTGGTCATTTGACTCCATTTTATATTTTTGGATTCCATGTTTTCCATTCCAAATCCATTTTTGCCTTTTTGCCCGTTTGGGGGTCGGATTTTGCATCGGCTATATTTTTAAGCCATGGACCATTGTAGCGCGTCTAAATAGGTAAGTTACATTTGTGTGCATAGTCGTTTCCAGGCAAAACCTCATCGTTTGTGTTTTGAGCCACTTACGAATTCATTTTGCGTTTTTGTTGCATATTCTGATCTAGGGGCATTCTAGACTTTTTAATTCAGTTTTATTTCCTTCTTTCAACATGGTTGAATAGAAAACGTGATTTTAGGGGCCTTTCTTTTTCGTGTTTTTCCAAAAAATGTCATCTTGGTGCCGGAAATCGATCGCAAAGTTCAGCTTTCTGTTTTTTTTTAACAGCTTTTTGGACCTCCATGACCAGATTTCATAGAGGGGCATTTCAGGCATTCTACATTGCGTTTTTTTTTTTTTTTTTTTTTTAATTCTCTCGTTAGTCACATAGAAAATTCAATTTTGAGGGGGGTTTCTTCTTTGTATTTTTCCAAAAAAATTCATCTACTAGCCCGTTTTTACTCTCTATTCTGGCTATTTATGGAAAAAAAATGCTTGTAGCAGCTTTTTGGGTCCATCTTGACCTAGGCTGTTCAAGGGGCATTTTAGGGACTTTATATCGTTTTTTTTTTTGTTTCTTCTGCATAGTCGGGTAGAAAACGTGATTTTAAGGGGGGTTTCTTCTTCGTGTTTTTCCAGAAAAACTCGTTTAAGGATCCGTTTTTAGCCTCAGTTTTGGAAAAAAAAAATTTTAATTTGTGCTTGCTGTTTAAACACTATTCCTGCCCAGATTTCTTACCCGGAAAATAAGTCTAATTTTTTAAAACTTTGAGGCTTCATATATCTTCGTCCTGACTCCAAATCAAGTGATTTTTGAGTCTAAGTTTATTAGTTTTTGCTTGTCTATCCAATGGTATTCACGGTTGCATCTAATTCTATCTGGAAAGACTATTTTACCCTTTGTAAAGTACCCTTGCCGCACTGATTTTAAACTCAAAGGTTGGTTTTTTTGAAACTTTGATGTTTCATATCTTCTTCATCCTGACTCCGAATCAAGTGATTCTTGAATCTAGATTCATTAATTTTTCTTAGTCTATCTATCGGTATGCTCAGTTGCATCCAATTTTATCTAAAAAGACCATTTTACCTCTTGTTAATTACCCTTGCCGCACTGTTTTGAAACCCGAAAGTTAGTTTTTATGAAACTTTGGAGTTTCATATCTTCTTCATCCGGACTCTGAATCAAGTGATTCTTGAGTCTAGATTTGTTAATTTTTTGCTGTCTTTCCAGTGGTGTGCTCAGTGGCACCCGAATCCACATTTTTCAAAAATGAATATTTTGCCCCTGGGGGCTTATTTGTCATATTTCTGACATTTTGCTTCCGCATCAGTTCTCATTGAGTTTCACGACCTCATGGAAGGTCATTTTGACTTCTTAGAGTCTTGTGTTCTATTTTTGCTTCCGCATTTCGGATCCGTTATCGGATCATCCTTACGGTTCATCACAGAACACACTGGCCTAAAAACCAAGGTCGTCATAACAGGAGGACTCGACAAGTACTTTTTGATCTGATCGAATGCCCTCTAATGTGTATCATTCCATTTGAATTCTTCCATCGGCTTCAACTTGAGTAGTGGGGAAAACGCATGTAACTTGCTAGCTGTATTGGTAATGAATCGCCTCAGATAGTTTACTTGTCGGAGTAACCTCTGTAATTGCTTCTTGCTTTTTGGTGCACTAGCATCAATAATTATCTTAGCTATATTCCTATCGATCTCTATGCCCTTTGATGAACCAAGAAACTCAAGAAGTTTCCTGCTGATACTCTAAAGGCACACTTTATTGGATTCATCTTTAGCTTATGAGCCCTCATCCTCTCAAAAGATGCTTTAAGATGAACTAAATACTCCTTCTTTGTTGCCGATTTCACTACCACATCATCAATATATACCTCCATAAACTTGCCGAGCATATCATGAAAAATAGAATTCATGGCTCGCTGATAAGTAGCACCAGCATTCTTCAACCCCAAAGGCATTACTACCCACTCAAAAGTTCCAATTGATCCGGGACACCTAAAAGCTGTTTTTGGAATATCCTCATCGGCTATATAAATCTAATTATAGCCAAAGTGTCCATCCATAAAAGACATAATTTCGTGCTTGGCAGCCGCATCGATTAACTAATCTGCTATCGGCATTGGATACTCATATTTTGGGGTTGCTAAGTTTATGTTTCGAAAATCGACACATATACATAATTTTTCATTCTTTTTTATAACAGGTACTACATTTGATAACCATTCAACATACCTCGTAGTTCAAATGAAGCCAGGATCCAACAATCGTTCGATTTCACTTTGACTTTGTCTACCACCTCTTGAGACATTCGACGAGGTGGCTGTTTATATGGCTTGTAGCCATCTTTAATGGGCAACTGATGTTCCACCAGATCTTGGATAAACCCAGCATTTCCTCATAATTCCAAGCAAAACAGTCACTGTATTACTTTAACATGCCAATAACCTCGGCTTGCAATTCTGGTTCTAACAGTGCACTGATGTAAGTTGGTCTAGGCTTTGCATCAGTGCCTAAATTCACCTCCTTTAACAGATCTTGAGTTTCTGCTTTAAGATCATCAAGCTTAGCTGGTGCCAATTCCAAGTCTTCTAACTAAATAGCATCCAACCTTTCATTATCAATTTGACCAACTTCAGCAAAATTAGCCGATGGTTCTGGCTCTATTTTTGCTTCTTTCTCTAGCCGTTTTTCAGCTATGTATGCTTGTAACCTAATGCAAGTGGCCCTAAAGGCCTGCTGCCGAGCTGCCTCTCTTTTAAGCTTCACTTCTATCGATAACTTCTTCAATTATAGTCAGCCGAGGGAATTCTACCTTTGGCCTAGAATTTTCCTATTGCAATTCACCAATCACTAGATTGGCAAGATTTCTTCTCATGGTTGCTGATGTAGGTCTTCCATCAGCTCCTGTTCCTACAAACCGAATAAGAACACACTCTTTATCATACAAAATAGCATTCGCCGAGTACACCTTTGCCACTAATGGCTTATCATCAGCATTCACTATTTTCACCTTGTCTTCATCCCAAAAGATCAGCATCTGATGTAATGATGATGGGATGCACATATTTGAATGAATCCAATCACAGCTTAATAACAAATTATAGGAAGCCGTGGATTCAATAATAAAGAATGCTGCAAAAGATGTCCTTCCTCTAACTTCGACTTCTAAAGGAAGAATCCCTTTAGTGCTCGTAGAACCTCCATTGAACCCACAAATTGCTCCATCAGTTGGAATAACATCTTCCACACTCTTGCCGAGTTTCTTCAATGTATTTGCTAGGACAACATTCAAAACCGAGCCATTATTTACCAAATTTCGATTAATAGGCTGACCTTCTACCCACACCTTAACATATAAAAGCCTAAGTTGTTGAGTCATTGCTAACAAAGGTTTTTCAAAGACTACCTTCTCTGCCGATTCTGAAGAAAGAATTGATAAATTCTGAATCGGCTGAGTTTCTTTCTCCTCGGTTTTACTTTTATCTTCTGTTACGCCCTTATTTCCAGTATTTGCACTAGATGCCGATGGAGCCTGGAACATTGCTGGTAATATAAATGCCATATTACATGACATTTCATCTAGGAAACTGCCAAATCGAATTTTGAACTCATTTTTGCATCTGGGCCATGTCGGCTGATTCTCATCTTCCTTATCCGGTTGACATTTTTCTGGTACAACGACTTCTTTAGTTAACTCTTCTTTGCTTCCATCCTCGGTTTTCCTTTTTTGCTCGGCCCTTCTCTTTTGTTCTCTTCGTTTCTGAGATTGAGTAAGGACTCCATTCCGATATTGTGGAACCCTACGGAACTTTAGGTGGCTGACTCTAGTCCATCTGTCCTTGACTGAGTTTGCCCTTAGTTTTACAGTTCGTACTTTATGCGAATCAGCTCCCTTTTGTATCCAAATTTCTCACTAAAGTGGAGAACGCCTTTAAAACTAAGATGTCGACTTTGAGAATGGGATCGGCTAGGTATAAATACTTGCCGATTCTGCTTTTCTTCCTTCACATGACTGCTACTAGAACTATTTTGCCGAGACTTTTCACCAGGCTTGATTGGAAAAGTCAACCTCTCCAAAATTCCTTTCTTCTTTGGTTGAACTTCTATTGGCTCTTCTTCCTTCATTTTTTGCTTTCCTTTGCAATTTGGACAACAACCCTGGTCTATCAGGGCCAATTGACCCTCTCTTAATTGTCTCTGTAGTTCTGCCATCTTTTCAAGTGTCGTAGTTGATGAAAGGAACTCACCTGATATCTACTCAGCTACCTGCCGATTTTCTCGCTTGACTAAGCTTATCATATTAGTAGATGCGATTGTAGGAAATGGATTGGTATCCACCTTCATTGTATCTGAAGTTTTCACCGGGAACTTCAAGGTGCCCTCATCAATAGCTTTTTGAAATTCACATCGTAGAACAGTACAGTCATTAGTAGCATGGTTCCAAGAATTATGATACTTACAATACTCTTTTCCTTTCAAGTCACTCGCTGATGGAATCTTATGCAATTTAGGCAAAGATATCATTTTATCGGCCATCAAATGATCAAAGATTTGATCTGTTTTCGACAAATCAAAAGAATAATTTTTTCCGGTATCGGCAACTCTTTTCCTTGCTGCCGATGTTGACGCTGGTGTTGCATTGCTCTCTGTGGTCGGCTTGGGTTTAACCAATGCCTCACAGATGTATGGCTTCCTGATATTGACCTCTGCAACATCAACTTCTAATTCATCTCTAACTTCTGTCGAGAATAATTCATAATTAGGGTCCTTGTACCAAGTACCCTTAAAAGAATTCTTCCTCTCTTTCTCTTCTTTTAGTATGTCCTCATACCTAGAAATCCTGTCTGCTAAATCGAAAAGATCTTGAAACTCAACCCCATCAAACCTCTTGCGATGTTCAATGTCTAGACCATTCAATGCCAACTTGATGTATTATGGTTCTGGTAAACTTACTCGGTATTTGAGTTTAGCCTTTCTAAAACGGGCAATAAAAGTCTCAACCGATTCATTCAGTAACTGAGATGAACGGGGATATGTCTGCCAACGTAACTTTTGTCTCTGTTCGGTAAAATTGGGTATGGAAAGCTTCCTTCATTTTATCCCAATTCTGAATAGAATTGGCTGGTAGGTTACTGTACCACTCAAACGCCGCCCCAGTAAGAGAACTAGAGAACAATCTCATCCTCAACCAAGGACTTAGGCTTGCTTCACCACATTGTGCTATGAACCTCGCAATATGTTGCACTGTAGAAAAATTTTCTTCACCACTGTACATAGAAAAATCAGGATATCGATAATTTTTAGGCAACTCATGAGCATTGATATGATCAGGATAGGGCTTTTTGTATACTGGCTGAGCACGTCCGCGTCCCTATGCTACTTCGGCCTGTATTAAAGCCAAAATCTGAGCCCAATCAATCCTTGCATTCTGACCTGGAGGATCATTTGGGTGAAGCGGAACAAATGGGTTAACCCACTCTCGTTGTGGATTCGCATTTATATGCCCCCAGCAGCCGCCGGAGGTACCACTAAGTTAGCCCGCCCTTAATTTTGGTTACCCATCAACTCTTGCTGATCTCTTACTGGAGGAATCAGTTGCACTTGTGGATGCTACACATTTTGGTTATTCATCGGTGGCTGATACATTGGCACAACAGTTACTACTAGCGGATCTGATAATATTGGTGGATTGCCAATCGATATACTGAGAGTAGGATTCGGTATACTGCCGATTGTACTACTGAGTGCTGTGCTTGGTGGTATAATACCTTGTTGACGTTATTCGAGGCCTTTGGGATATATATACCAATGGTGCCCTCATATGCTGAAATATTGACTCGTTGACATGAGATGCTTCAGCTTGATCATGTCGGCTTTGATTAGCCAACATACTGGTTTCTAATTTCTGATTCATCTTCTCCAACTGAGCGTACATCATTTGGTTTAACTCCCCAGTCACCAACCTCATCTCATGTATCCGAGAAACCAAAATCTGATTTGATTCCCCCATTTGGGATCTCACCTCGCTAATCTGTGCTTGTTGGGCATCAATTTTCTTCATAATCAATTCCAGTACCCGGCCCAAAGGAACGTCGGATGGAATAGAAGAATCAGCATCATCGCCTGATCCGTTGATTTTCTTCGTCAATGTTATCACCTATAGTCACACCTTTCGAATTTCTTTGCTTTGGAAGCATCTTTACTATAATTTGCTCACCTGATGGGGTCCTACCGGGCGTGCCAAAAATGTTGACCCTAAAATCGGCCGACTGAAGCTGATCTTAAATTGATTTAATGCGGGCATGCCAGAACCACTCACGTGGTTCGATAGTAAACAGTCAACGTTAGTCCCTTTGAGAATGTTGACTTTCAGACGATGCGAGGAAAAAGGGAACAATAAAATTCCTCTTTTGAGTTCAAACAATGCCTTAGTTAAAAGGACTTTCTAGTGAATAATTTATAGTAACATATCAAGAGAATAAAAAGGGGAGGAAAATAGATATAGCAAGAAGAGAGAGAGAAAAAGAGATAGAAGGAAAGAGGGAGAGCGAGAATAAGAAGATGAGGATAGAGAGAAATAACAAATAGCAAGGATGATATTCTAAGAAAGGCTTAAGAAAGCAAAACACAATAAACAAAATGATTCTGAGGGTGCTAGACCTCTTTCACAGCATGCATTCTTCTTTATTTATAGATAGCATACAAAACAAATTCCTAAGTTCAAACATTCTATTTGTAATAAAACTCTAATCATAACTACAATTCAAATTAAATTAAACTACAGATAGCCTAACTGAAAAATAAAACAAACTCTATCTATCTTTTACTTCAAAATAAATCTTTGCACACAATTTAGATCCATGTGGAATTGTTACTTCCTCTAGTCCAAAGCCCAATCATATAATCAGCCCAATATTCCATGTACCCAACCTAATCTTTTCTCACAATTCGCGTCCTTATCCTGTTGCATGTAGTTTTGCTCCATAGTTCATGTCTATATGCCATATTGATGAATTTCTTTCCAATCAAATTGCTAACCCAACCCATCTTCAGCCCAATCATAAATCCATAAACCAAATATCCTCTATGGCCCACGTATTAAAATGGGTCTACAACCCAAATGCCAAAATGGGTGTCAACAGTATTAGAAAAAGTATCGGATACGTGTTAAAAATTAAAAATTATATTTTTAAATTGTATATACATTTAAGAAATATCAAACTCGTATTCACGAGTATTCGTGGAGTATCGGTATCCGATACGGGTACATTGCCCTCCAAGAAGTATCCATGCTTCCTAGACTATAACATACCATGGATTGCTAAACCAATTAATTATAGGAGTGCACACGGTATGATTTGGTTCGGTTTTGAGGATTTTTGAAACCAAATCGCTCCGTACGGTTCCAAAAAATTTGAAACCAAACCAAGCCATTTAAGCCTTGGAGCCGAACCAACCCAAACCGTGAAAAAAGGGTTTGGTTCGGTTTGGTTCGGTTCCACCATTCTAATTGAATTTTATTTCCCTAATTTTTTCCCTTGAATTGTATATGCAACGAAAATAAAAACATTCACATTCCCGAATCCAAGACTAAAATAGAGATAGAAAATTAAGAGAGGGGAAAACTTACTGAAACTGAAAAAGATGACAAATTCGTGGTTGAAGACTAAGAAACTTGATTCATTGTCGTTATTGGTTATGTTTGAGCCGCAAACACACCGTGAGACTCAGAGATCTGTGAACTGAAAGTGAGAGAGAAAGGGAGACAGTGTGATAAAGGATGTCACCGACGCAGCTATAAAATATCAATGGCGATGACTGATCGAACTTCCAAGGTTACAAGCGAGAGATTTATTAACAATTGGATACCGCGGCGAGAGAATTGAGAACTGAATGAGGCGGCGTGAGCAAAGAAAAAAAAAATAGTGGAGGAATATTGGTACGAACCCAAAAATCTAAACAATGGGAGGAGAAAAAGTAAATAAAAAATATTAGATGGTGATGAATGTTGGCTTACATTTGATCGTTGTGCTGAAATTCCTTGCAATGTTAAAAGTAGTATATAGGTATAGCTATATATATATATATATAATATATAACATACATATATTATATATATATATATATATATATATATATATATATATATATATATATATATATATATTATAAAGATTCGGTCTAAGTCTGTCTTGTAAAATCCTAATCCGGGACCGAACAAAAAATTCTTAATTTCTTTATTTTAAAACACTAAGAATTTTATTTAAAAAAAAAAAAAAAATCACACAATTGTAAGTACTCAATCAGAATAACTATTCCACGTGCATTTCAGGGTATGATATCAAATTTCTTAGGAGAAACAATTTCATGTAGCACACGTAGATCCAAGAGTCTGTTAAGACAAAATTAATGTTAATTAGACTTCATTTTTTGCTTAATTGATATCACCGCCATTCTGTTCCATAAAAACAGAGTACCCAAATAGGGTTAGGTTTTTTACAATAAAATTTTTAAAACTCCTTTAATTGTAAAATGTTTAAATGGGTATGAAAAGTTAATAGTGAAAAGTCTTTTGAGAAAAGACATGTCCATTTGTGAATAGGCATGTAGTTGTCTATAAATAGTTAGAGTATTCCAACAAATAAACGAGTTCTTACTGCTCTTCTTCAGTTTCTTTTTAAAAACTCATTCCTTCATTCTTCAACCAAATACTATATTATATATCTGAGTTTATGGGCAGCATGACACAAAGACTTGGTGATTCGTCTCTCTGTGAAAGTGCTTATGGAGGATATTAGAGTTGCATATTGATTCTTGGAGCCTTTTATAGTCGTTATAACCTGCACATAGGGAGCCTATAAAGGCTTTTGGATAGCGCAAATTGCATGCTTCTCCATTATAAGCCAGAAGTTTATTTACTCTTCTCTTATTGATTTCATATAATTTTACTGGTCTATTACTTTATTATATTATTTTCTTTATACTTTATATATTATGCTTTGATTACATTGTGATATAAATATACAAGTGTTATTTGTTAAACTATTATGATATATGATTGTCAGATTAAATTTATATATAAGAACACAAAATCCCCAACAGTCTAAAACCTTTATATTTTCTCTTTAAATAGAAATGTCTATTTTTTCATGCCATTAATTGGTATTGGATGCGTTTTCATGTTTTTCAGTCCGAAATGAAAAGATAAGATGATACATAGAATTCACCTCCAGAAGTAATCTGCCCTTTATGATTGGAGATCCCATGAATTAGATTCAACGAGTATAAACAATCCGTATTGCGTGACTTATTTAGAGCACTTTATCATTAGGAGGTTTCTCATGGAGATCCACTCTTACCCATCCCTATGGCACCAGTGTTGTTTAATGTGATGTTAGGAAGGCCTTTGCCCTGAATGAGCTCGAGGCAGCAAACTCTTGCAAGGTATAGGTCACATGTACCTTTGGAGGACTCACCTAAGTGAGAGACGTCGTGAGGCTGTGACTATGAGAATTGGGTTGTTCTCTAGTAACTCTCATGAGAATCAAGATACCAGCGCATGGTTATTACTAGCACTGCACCGCTAACCAAGTCTTAAGTCAATACTATGTGTGCTAGATGTTGAAGTCTAATTAAAAGGGTCGAGCTCAAGATCTTGTCTCTCCGGTTCCTCATATGGAAATAGTAACACTAAGTGCAAGTTCAAGTCCGGAAGACCCCTAATTATTTTATTTCTTATATACATATATTTAAATTTAAATCTCTATAAAATAATTAAAATAATTAGGGATTTTGTAAAAAGTTTTAAAAACTTGTGGGGATTGTTAGGTTTTTTACAATAAATTTTTAAAACTCCTTTAATTGTAAAATGTTTGAATGGGTATGAAAAGTTAATAGTGAAAAGTCTTTTGAGAAAAGACATGTGCTTTCGTGAACAGGCATGTAGTAGCCTATAAATAGTAAGAGTGATCTAACAAATAGACGAGTTCTTACTTCTCTTCTTCAGTTTCTTTTTTAAACTCATTTCCTTCATTCTTCAACCAAATACTATATTATATATATATATTCAATTTTATATTTGAGTTTATAGGCAACATAACACAAAGACTTAGTGATTCGTCTCTCTGAGAACGTACTTATGGAGGACATTGGAGTTGTATCTTGGAGACTTTTATAATCGCCATAACCTGCACGTAGGGAGGCTGTGTAAAGGCTGTAAAGACTTTTATATTGTTTTATTTATACTATATATATTATGCTTTGATTACGTTGTGATATGAATGTACAAGTGTTTTTGTTAAACTGTTATGATATGATTGTCAGATTAAATTTATATTTAAGAACACACAAAATCCCCAACAAATAGAAACTTAACAGCTAATTTGCTCCAAAAAAATATGTTTTAAGCAGAGTTGGGGTGATTAGGAAAAAAAAAAAAAAAAAAAAAAAAAATTGAACAGAAAAAAAAAGGCTCTCAATTTTTCAAATCCATGTTATCCAACCTGAGCCACAATTCATGAGTTTCAATAGTTCCCATGATTTTTTACATTATAAGCCATGGATCATAAACTAGTTTATTTTTATTTGTGAAAATGAGATGGTTCAATGATATTATCAAACAAAGTTTTATGAAGACAATAGAGGATATTAACAAATCGTCACAACAAAAAAGAACCTGTCATGGCAAATAATTAAATGTTACTTCCTGGATAAGTTGGCAAATACCAACCAAGCATGGTTTGCTGCCCTGAGAATATATATGTTTTTTCATGAATTTAAAATAAAATTCTGTCTCTATTTCTCCAAATAGAAGAGAACCACTCCAAAGAGAATAGAACAAATTCATGGTGTACTTCAAAAAAAAAAAAAAAAAAAAAACAAATTCATGGTGTATTTATAACAGCAAGATTCCTTTCTGGTTGACTAGAATTTTCATGTTTGTCTTGCACATCTAAGAGAACTGGTTGAAACTTAAAATACGGTTATAACTGGCATGAAGGCCATGCATTGTTTTGTGTAGCAGTCTCATCCCATCAAGTCTAAGGAAGAGCAAAACACTGGGGGGTGAACATCACTGCTCTTCAAATATCGTTCAAGTTAAATAATTTAGGGTGAATTGCATTAAACCCCCTTTTTAATTTTTTTATTTACCAAAAAACCTCCCTCAACTATATAAGTTAGGAGTGACTTAACAAACTGATGTTAACCGAAAGGAATTGAAATTGACTAAAATACCCATTTATTGTTAAATAACCTAAACAAGGTTGTTCATAGAAATTAACAATTCTAATATTTTTTCTTAATATTTTAAGAGTTTACTAGACTGTTGAGGAGATTAAAAAATAATCATAATTAAATGCAGTCTTTTATTTAATAGAAAAAATTAAAAAAAAATTGCCTTTCAGCTAACATTAGTCAGTTAAGTCACCCTCTCAAATGTTGAGGGGTGCAAATAGAAAAAGGGGATTTAATGCAATTCACCCAATAATTTACTATGAGGATAGTTTTTTCATCAATTAGAGGCTCTAATCCTAGTATGTAGTGGCACATGGCTCATAAGTAGGGGTCAACCCAGTGACCAACAGCTCAGGTTGAACTATATAAATGATCTATCCAAGTTATCAAGTATACCTGCATAATTTAATCAACATTTTTGACCTCATTTAAGCAAGCCAAACATGAAGATACTTTGCTTGACTCATACAGATAATAATGGGCAGACTGTTAAGACCGGTGAATAAGTTTGAACTTGACATTGGCTAGCAAGAGAAACAAGCCAACCCTAACCTTGGCTAGCATTATCTGATCTAAAAGAAAAACTAGCTTTTATTTCCTACAAAATATCACCAACTAGTGACTTTCAAATGCTTGTCACGATATCCAACAACTCGAATTAAAGAAGATCTCTTGAAAACTTAATTCATATAATATAATGTGGCTCATACCCCAAAACATAATTCAGAAGATGAAATGGAATCAAAGATATGAAATTACGGATAACAAATACTTTCCGAATAAACCTTACCAAAATGGGTGCGAATGCGCGCGCGCACACACACACACATATATGTATACACACTTCAGCATAACATCTAAAGCCATATTACCCCAAATGCTCCAAGAGTTCAAAAACATCATCGTTGAGTTAAATGTTTCCGAAAGAAAGTTTTCAACTACATCAAGGCAAAGTATAAGCAGCATAAAACAGGGAAAGAGTTCACCATGCCACTCCTACTCGTTCAGCAGTTCGACCTTCTCTGGCTTCTTCATTTTAATTTTCTAGAGCCCTGAAAAAAAGTTTCACACAAACAGAATGATTATTTATGATAATTGTAACTCCTCAATGATATGAATATGAAACTTTAATTGACCAAAAATATTTAAGTTTATGTAATCTACAAGGGGAGTGAAGACATGGAGGTTACTTAAATGTTAGGTTAAGTATTTATATTCGCATGTAGCAATAACAAATATAAGATGTAAAAGTAAGTAAAATCATGCATCTTGCCTCTTCTTTCTTTTCTTCTTTGGTTTTTCTCTTCTTTTTGAAGAGTATAAGCAAAATTAAGATTCCAAATGTTTTGGTAAAAAAGAGTGAGCTGAGTTTGCTCTTCTTTTCAGGGATTTCCTAGCTCCATCCCCTTCCCCTTCCCCTTCTCCGTGCAAATTAGGTGAATCTGCACAGGTGCCGGTATTACCAAATTTTGTTCCAAATAAAACCAGGCTCTCAGTATAAGCATCTGCATAAAATGTAGTTCCACTAATATTAAGATGCATTTTTTCGTTCGGTATTGGAATATAAACTCAACAGAACTTTGCCTTTTCGTTCAGTACTGGAATAGAACCTCAACAGAACTTCGCCTTTCTTTGTGAAGCCGACTACACTACGGGGTCCAACACTAGTATGAATATTGAATAGTTGTGTCCAAGAATCTGATATGCCATACTCCTTCATCACCCATATGCAACAAGTATGCCAATGACAATCAATCAGAGAGAGTGATTCTTGAAACTTAGAAACAAGAACACTCAACCCTGAGTAGTTACTACCAGAAATGCTACCAGGCACCATGATCTCGCCAAATATCTCATCACTCATGTGGAATGACAAGATCAAACGGAAGAAATCTTCTCCTGTCTTACCATAAGCAATCCAATGTGCAGCTCCGTTCAGATAAACCGGTAGAGACCACTGGTCTATGGTATATGGAGGACCCAAATGGCTGATGTTCCGCCATGTGCCTGTGCTCAGACTGAAAATATCAATCTCTGCCGGAGGTTGAAAACTATTGGGTTCGTTGAGATACACAATGCTGATAACCTTGTAGTCATCAGTCTGGGCATTGTAACCGATCCCAATGGTATGCACAAAAGCTCCATGCCGTAATGGTGGAAGGGCAATTGTCTTCCGAATAGATGGATTCCATAGATAAATCATATAATCATGGGAAAGGCGCACGAGCCCATTGCAGCTACCCATTATCCTCAAATAGGAGGGGTTGTTGTCTCTCTTCAGTGGAAGCTCAAGCATTGCATAATCACACAACACTTCGTTTTCGCAACAAAGTAGTGAGTAATTCACTCGATTGGCATCATCACCATAGACGCTTCGTGTTGAGATTTTATTTCTTATAGATGCTTCGTGTTGAGATTGAATGATTTACTCTTTTATTTAGGGCTAATTGGTAGGTAATTAGTTACTTATTTTAGCTAAATCCTAGCCTATAAATTGGATGTAATACTATCAATGCAAGTATCGAATTGAGTTTTAATTCTCATATTCTTTCTTTGAATTTCAAGTTGGTATTAGAGCTACTCTTGAACCATATTTTTTAAATCTCTTTGAATTTATCATTTATTCATACAATAAACCCATACAACATAACCATAACCATACCCATACCCAAACCCATCCAACATAACCATACACATACACATCAATTCACAGACCCATATAGAAACACAGAGTCACCATTGATTCACCATCACAAGCCGCTGCCAAACCGCCGAAGATCTCGCCGGATCTGGATCTAAAACGACGACGACACTGCCATCACAAGTCTCAGCCGTCACCGGACCAATCTCCATTTACAGGCCGAACCGCCGTCGGATAGCGTCGCCGGTTCTTCGCCAAACCAAACCGGTGCCTGCTGACACCGAACCGCTGCACCTCAACGTCGCATCACCGGATCTTCGTCGGATCATCACGTTAAACCGCTGCCTCGCCGGATTGCATCGTGGCGTCGGATCGTGTCCACGTCCGGCCGATCGATTCCAAAAGCCGCCGTTGCTGTCGGTCTGTCAGGCCGAGCCCGCGCTTCGCTGATTCATTCTACCACAGTTTATAGACGGACCATCCACAACCGAGCTTTCCAAGCTCACTGCCGCTTCCGCATCCTTCTCTTCTTTGCTCAAACGTCAACAGTTTTGAGAATTGAATTCCTTATTTGAAAAAAAAAAAGAAGAAAAAAGAAAAGAAAAAGAAACAGAAAAAAAGGAAAAAAAAAAATTTGTGTGCCTTGAATATTATATAGATATATATTGAATATTATATATATATATATAATAAATAAAAAAATGTGTGGAAAAAATATTGACTCATCTGGAGCATACAAGTCTGCTTACAAATGCACTCATTGCAACCAGACTGGTCATACCAAAAGTTGTTGTTTCAAACTTGTGGGATATCCAGAATGGTGGGATCATCGCCGTTGGAAGAAGAATTCACCGAAGACCTCCACTGCAACAGTTGTTAAGACAACAAATAATGGTGGTAAGGTTTTCAATATTTCTACACCTGTTGCTAATAGTGCATGGATAATTGATTCTGGTGCTACTGATCATATGACATTTGATTCTAGACAGGTCTCACCTCTTAATTCATCCTCACACAAATTTGTTTCTACTGCCAGGACTTCAACTCCAGTTATTGGGGAAGGATCTCTGATACTCACTAATAATCTACATTTAGATTCTGTTTTAGTTGTTCCATCTTTCGATTCTAATCTTTTGTCAGTTTCCCAAATAACCATAGCTTTATCTTGTGTTGTCATTTTTTAGCCTGATTTTTGTGTGTTTAAGGACATCCAAACAAAACAGACGATTGGTTGTGGTATTAGGCGAGGGAAACTGTATTACTTGAACTTGATGTCCCAAAGTTCCGACAAGCTATGATAAGCATTGACAGTGGATGCACATCCTCTTACCAAACCCCTTAAAAACTGAGCTTCATCTCCCCCCAAAAGAACATTTCCAACCACTCCATAAAAGAGGGGAACCAAAAATTGAGGAAATCAAGGAACAAGTGGGCTGCAATGTTCCTTCGAGCACTCGAAGAAGGGGCTTCGAGCGCTCGAAGTAAGCCGTGGAATAGACTGTCAAGATTTCGAGGGCTCGAAGGGGGGCTTCGAGCGCTCGAAAATGCGCCAGCATGCTCTTTTCCTTCTGCTGCTCCGAATTCTTCTTCATGCATTCATCCTTGGCTTATTGAGAATCTTTAACTCCTTTTTCATTGTAGGAAGTTTTCATAAACCCTCTTTGATGGTTTCCTCTTGGAAATCAAAAGACAAAAAGGCTCGGAGTGACTTGATCTTCAAAAAGGCCTTCAAAAGCTTCCATTTTACTTCCTTTTGGAGGATAAACCTGAAAATACACAAAAATACGAAAATTGGAGATAATTTATACAAATAAACCATAAACAAACTTAACTAATGCAAGTAAGGGCGTTTGAATGTACAATATTCGGCGCTTATCACACCCCCAAACTTACATTTTGCTAGTCCCATAGCAAAACCAAAATGAAAAACATACATAGCTCAAATACAACTTGAAACAAACAAATGACTGGAGACGGGGTCATTAAGCAGACTACCATGCATATATGAAGCATTGATACAAAAGTTTGCTAAACACGTGTAATACCCCTAATTTTAAAAAGGATAATATTGGGAATTTTATTTTATTTTATTTTTATTGATTAATTGATTTAATTATGTGATTTAGTTATTTTGTTTTTCTTAATTGATTAATAGTGTGTATTTAAATTAATATTGTTTAATTGTGAATAGTGGGTATGTATTTAATTATTTATTGTCTTGAATTTCTTTATGTGTTTTGAGTGATTATTTATTTGTTTTCCTTATTTGTTTTACGTGTAATTAATTAATTAGGTTTAGGGTGTTACGATTATGTAATTTTGGGTGCCAACTTATAGGAGGTTGGAATTAGGGTTAAGTTTTTATGGTAGCCTATATATTTAACTTTACAAGTCTGCTAGGGTTAAAAAAAAAACCTATGCACGTAAGAATTCTTGAGAGAGAAAACAGAGGCACACATAATGGTTTTGAGAGGAAACTATATGAGCCACCAGTTAGGAGTTCAACTGTGACCTGAAGGTCATATCAAGGAGGAAAGAGTGGATAGATTGTGGTATTGGAACTGAGCAGTAGGAAGGTTGCCGGTCGTTTGTTCGTCGGAAACTCCATAGATGACGTTGTAAGGTTTCAAACCGAAACCTATAGGCAAGTTTCATTCTATCCCTTCCTGTAAACTTGTGTTCTGTGCATTCTATATGCTCTCCAGGAAATTAATTTAACTTGAAAATGGAAGGTTGATACAAGATTATCAGACTGTAACCTATTGCATGCTTAATTAACTGGTCTCAGTTCTCTTGCATAAATTGTGTTGTTTTCGGTTTAGATTTTTGTCAATTGATTTACATTGGAACATGAAGGGTTTCTAGGGTTGTTTAGACTCTGATTGAACCTTGTAAACTTTAAAAAAGAAATTCAGAACCGAAGGATGGAGTTCGCCGGTAGCAGAGAAGGCAAACAGGGGAAGCATAAACTGTTTCGTTTATGGTTTATGTTTTGTCAATTAATTCATAATGGAATTGGAGAAGCTTTTAGGATTGTTAGGACTTAAACAGACAGTAAAATTTATTTAATTAACGTGCTTGAATTTAAAGGAATTTAATTGCATGAAATTGAATTTGTTATAGGACTGCTTTTACGGTTGGATTATGTACCTGTTTTAACCATGATTTCTCTTGAATGTACACTTGTTTTGATTCATGTAGTGATGCAAAATTACTTCTTATAATTAGTTGGGATGGTCTGGAACTTAAAACAGTGGGTTAGGAACTTGAACAGGGGCAACTGGAAAGTCAAAAAGTGTCCGGAATTGAAGAAGACGGAGGTTCAGATAATGGAGCAGGCTCCATTCTTCAAAGGAGCTGGCTCCATTAAGATGGAGCAAGCTCTAAACTATTATGGAGCTGGCTCCAAGAGGATAGATCAGGCTCCAAAATATAATGGAGCCGGCTCCACTTTTGGTAATGCACAGTAAGTGCATTTTTTGTGGTTTTTTATTTTTATTTTTTTATTTCAGGAGCTTAAATGAAATTAATGGAAAGTGGTGTGGGGTTTTAGATGTTTAAAATTAACCTATTAAAAACATAAAATAGTTAGTATATGCTAGTGTGTTAATATTAATGGGCATCATGAAGTTTTAAAAAGATTAATGTGCATGTTGTCCAGGAAGGAGAAAGTCTTAAATTTCTAGTTTGGTTAGCCAATTGAATGGACTGAATTGAAAGATATTTTATGGATGTTGTATCAAATATATTTGTGATATATTTAAGTTCCATGAGGGTTGGTTGGGTTGTGGTTGTGGACGTCATGTAATTTAAATACATTGTTGCATGCTGTCAGGAGTGGAGGAGTTTTTATTTGCCGGTTTGTTTTAACCAGTTTATTTTGGTAAGTATAAAATACCATTGGGGTTGTATATAATGTGTTGTGAGACTTCTTAGTTGACATAGTATGTCAAGCACAGGTTTTAACATGGAGGATTAAAAAGGACGTCATGTAATAAAACGATAATTTTCATGCCGTCAGGGATTAATGAGGATTTTCATTACTAGTCTTTGTTTTAATAATTTAAATGAACTAGTATGAGAGTATGGTTAGGGATGTCTAGTATAATGTGCTCAGCTCATATTTATGATAGTCATTATACCATGGTGTGGGTGTTAATTGATGAACTGTTGAAATTTCTGTTTTGTCAATTGGATGGATATGGATGGTTTAGATTGTCTATTAATACTTTAACAATTAAAATGGAAGTTTTATGATTATAATCATATACTAGAGGCATAATTTGGTCATGCATATAATAGACTGTATTTATGTTTATTTTGGAGTATGGTTGATGAATATTTATTATTAATTTGTCAACTATATTGGATGGAGGATGGTATGCACCGGTATGGGACGGTGGCATACTAGGTATGGATTAGTTCAAACACTATAATCTACCTATTCTGGATTGAGGTGTGAATTTACCATAAAGGTTCAGTCCCACTCATATTTGTGTCATATCAATTATGAATTGAATGACCTACTTTGGTTTCTGGATGGATTGTTATACTTATATCAGACCACTACAAAAGATGGATGATATTTTGTATTAGGAGTATAC